TATTTACACCAGATGGGTTGTACTTACCGATTCGCATCGTCGTACGAAATTTTCACGAAGCAAGTTGTCGGATATCTTCATCGTATTTTCTGAGTTCGCCTACCAATCGCACAAGGTCAGGTCACTTCCGATGGAACATTTAAGCATACGAAATCGTAATGGATGACTACCAGTTCAACTCCGAAATCCTAAGTCATAACTGAGCTCCTGGGAGTTAATTTCAGCTATTTCCAATTCTCAGCCATCCCACTCTACAACAATGACCATTTTGATGTACATCCTAGAGAATCATATTGCCACTACGGAAGTCAAACTCGTAGCAACTTATAGCAAAACTAGTTCTTTTATATTCCGCTATCCTATTCTTCTGTGACTAATACAACTACGACCAGAAATGTTGGGTTTCAGTGTTTACTGGAAATTTGATTGCGTCTCTTCATATTTACTGGTCAGATTTATTTGTCACCAAATTTCGATATTCAGAAAATGGTCCCGAGCTTCATTGTATTGTCTCCTCTGAAAATAGAGAGCAGGAAAAACGAACAACCGCTGATGGATGTAAGTGGACAGGATTCGCGACGTGGAGGAGCTCAGGAACCTGCCGCTGAAGAACAACCGGCTTCAGAGGATGCATAACACTGGTCTTGCTCCCACAAACCTCACCGTGTGCGAACAGAAAAATAAACAAATCTTCGGCATTTTTCGTTTTGGTGCACTTCTCTTTGGCCAAACCACATCTAGGTCGTCATCAAATTCGGAATGGAACCTCTCTAAATTCAGTTGCGCTAAATTTTCTAGAGTCGACTAATCGTGTGTAATAAGCAATAATGGCTCCTTTATTACAAATCCAACTACTCCACAAGCAGAAATTAACAATTCGTTCCACCTCGATCTGTTAAGCATGTCTGATTGATTTCGTAATTTGTGTGGACCCTTAGTATGGAACAGACTCAAAGTGTGTTTGAATGACAGCAGTTAATCTGCCTTGTACCAGAAATATGTACCTCTCTTGCGTTATCTGGTTTGCGCTTAAGCAGAGCCCAGAACTACAAGATACATTCGTATATTGCAGGTTGTCAAAGGATCTCAGTACTTTAGCACACTTGAGCGAAATGCGGTGGAATGTTATCAACAAAACCATTTGGCTCGGATAAACGGCGGCTAAATGACACTCCGACACTGACAAACATACAATAGACAAATATTCTTGGCTTGGAGCAAGAAAGTCCAGGAACCCTGTCTACACTTTAGCCAAACTCTGCCTGCATTATCATCGTCTTCATTGACAGCATGGCATCAGTGTTCGACACCAACGCTTCATTGCCGTACAACCATGATTCATTTGAAAGCCTTATTGTAAAGAAAAGAATAAAGGCGTACGAGGAAGGTACTTAGTGCTAGCTTAACACAATCATTCCGAGGTGCCTATACCTCTACTTACTCGCTTAGGCGATCCGGATAGAAACTAACAAGAATGCCACGGACATCGGTTGGCAGCCATATCTTGTAGTGTCTCCAACCAGGCACAGTAAGCATCACGCGGTCCGTATCCTGGAAAGCCAGTTGCACCGACAGCACCCGGCGTTTCGTGATCTCCTTCATGCTCCTCTGCCAAGTCAAGGGATGGTCATTTCTCTGTTTACGCCACAATAAGTTGGGCATGGAAAACAGCACTGTCTTCGGCAAACGATGGTTCGGCATAGCAACACATGTCCCAACCAACGCAGCTTCTGGTGCTGGACACATCCGTCATTGGAAGTACCCGTCGCACAAACGGAAACGCGCTTTCTAACTGTTTCTTTACGGATTCGCCGACACCAACCCACGCGAGCTATGGTTCTGAGACAACGTTTGTCGAACACCTGAAGATGTCTCAGTTCGGCTGCTCGAATAGGGAAAGTCTCACAGCCATACAACAAGACAGCCCGTACTGTAATTTGATACGCACATCCCTTGACATTCAGAGATACGCGGCTTTGACGCCATAGGTGTCTCAAATCAGCAAAAGCGGTCCTTGCCGTGCATTCACCTCATCTGTCACACTACAATCAAAACTAATACAACTTCCACGATACGTAAAGTGCTCCACAACTTCCAGTACCTCTCCTTGGATTGTAAGTGGCATGTTCAGTGACTGCACGTTCACGAGCATGACTTAAGCACTTTGTAGGTGCAAAGTGCATACCAAAGGGCGGGATGACTTTGATCAGTTGATCCAAATGACTTGCGCATCCTTCTCCTCTTCGAACATGAGAACGATGTCGTCTGCATATTCCAGATCGACAAGGTTTTCTTCAGAGGCTATTTGAACACCAGGGTTTTGGAGACCCTCCAGCGTTCGTCTCATTATTTCATCGATCACGGAGTTAAAAAGGAGTGGCGAGAGTAAGCATCCCTGACGGACACCGCTTTGTGTACGGAAGCTTTTGGAGAGTTCTCCGTACACTCTCGAATGTCCGGAAGTCTGAGAATACAAAGAACGTATTATGTTTACAAACTCCCGGGGCGTTCCTTGGTGTTCAAGCGTCTCAAGAAGAACAGACCGACCAACTGAGTCGAATGCACCTCGGAAATCCAGGAATATTAGAATCGTGGGTCGCTTATACGTACGGCGTTGTTCTAGCACCTGACGCAGTGTGAAGGTTTGGACAACACAATCCCTATCAGGCCGGAATCCCGCTTGCTGCTCTCATGTCCATATCTCACGAGCCACCGCAAGGCGACGAAATACAATTGACGCCAACAGTCTTGTTACGACCGGGGTCAAGGTGATACCCCTGTTGTTACCACACTTCTAAGCGCCTTTTTTTTAAAACGGGCACTATCACCGATTCTCCCCAGTCGACTAGGACAGACTCCGTTTGCCAAATGCAACTAACACATCGGACAAGCGCTGACTGAGAATATCACCCCCGTCCATGAACAATGTGTGTGGGAGGTCATCCGGACCAGGAGCCCGGAGGCGCTTGAGGGAATATATGCAGTCGGAAATCTCCGTGGTCTTATGTATTTCCACGCTCCCCGTTCGGGGTTCTACTTCAATTGTTGGCTCCAGATCAGTGCCAGCTGGTGGCCACGGCAGTTTTTGTTCGAAGTATTCAGCCCGCCGGTCGAGGCGTTCTTCTTTATTCGAGATGGTCGTTCCATTCTGATGTTTGATGGTTTCGCTCACAGGTGGTTTCCGGGGACTGGTTGCATGGGTCAATTGAAATAATCTTCGGGTATTACCGGCTTTCTGGGCCTCTTCCATTTCTTTGGCTCCCTGTGTCCACCCTACTTCACGGTCGGCTCGCACGCTCACTTACACTTGACGTCTGATAACTCTTCGCACCGATTATGTTCGGGACCGGCTGGAATATTTCTCTAAGATTTGAGTAGTGCCACGTTTCGGTCTTGGGTGCGCCTGGTTGGGTTGTACCACAGGCAAAATTCCCAGCACTATGCAAGGAGATGACACTCTCGTACCAGCATGAGTGGAGCATTGGGAAGAGACTCTATAAGATCAATTTGATAAGTCCGTCTGACATCGGGATCTGCCGGTCTCGCAGTTGCCAGGCGATTCTTCCGCACCTTACGGTTCCGGGAAAACGTAGAGAGACGCGACCCTGGACGAGCGCGTGATCAGAATCCGCAACAGTATTCCAAAACTACCGGTAGTCAGTTACTGATCCGCGCCATTGGTAACCGGTAGCAATGTTGGCGATTTGAGTTTGCGGCCGGAATGCCGTTGAAGGACACCAAGTGGACAAGCGATTTCGGCTATTTCGGAAGTTAGTGCTGCATAAAAACAGCCTGCGATCAGCACACAGCTAAAGCAATCGTTCCCCATTGTCCGTTCGTACCGAGTTCATTTCGTGTCGACCTCCTAATTGAGTCTCAGATAAGCTAAACCTGCACACTCATGCATTCAAATATCCGGGAACCACCATGCTGTTTGAGCTTTTAGCTCGCCGCAGCATGGTATTCAGGGCGTCATAATCACCGTGTTTGACGCCGTCAGAGCTACAGTCGGTCGGCGCGTGGTGCGACGTCATCTCAATGTGAGGGGTAATCACACCGCTGAACAGCCACATCGTTGTCAACCGCCCAATAGCATACAAATATTCTTGCTCATAATGCACGGCACAGAGGCTTCCTCGTGCTTACGTTGCAAAAGAATTGAATAACTGAGTGCGTGGCATAACTATACAAGTTCTCTTCGTCTTGCGTTTTACAATCTTTCAGAGGGATTTTGGCATGTGTTGGGGCTAAACGAAGTCATTTCCGTCCACCTGGTCGGGGAATATTCAGTGTGGGCCAGCATGTTTTCTGGTTGGTTCAAAGGTCTTGGAATCCCGCAGGGTACAAATCAAATCAAAACTTGATGTCCAGGCTGGATTTGACTTTGGAAGGCCCCAGCATAACCAGTCGTTTAGAATTAGTATGTGCTCAAAATGGATTTGTGGTTAAGGCGAGAACCTGCTGGCTGGAATTTTAGGGTTGAAACTCAATCTATAAAACTCGAATGCTTCTGTCTCCGCTTGGACAATATGACATTGTTTCATTCTTCGTGCTAACTTCTGGTGGCATGAAAGCTTGTTACAGAAGGATCATTAGATTTGAACAAAGGAATTGATCATAATCTCATACCTGAACACAGCAACTAGAACGTGCGACTTTTCCGACAGTAAAGTAAACGACTTCGGAATAGTGAATAATGAGCAGCATACTCCAAACTCCCTGGTAAGCAACTGCACACAATAACACTTGGTCAATCGTGGCTAGCCAACGATCCGAGTGGCTTGTTATTGGACAAGGTATCCCTTAATCAGGAAGTACAACCCTATCCCGATAGGGTAAATATTATCACCTTGTACCGAAAGCTTCAGGGTCTCATAATCTGGAAATCAAAGGCGTCTTTTAATGATATGTCTAGTAGTGAATTCGGAGACAGCTTGACAATCTAGGAGAATGCTTGAGCCGGATGGTTGAAACCATGATGATATAAAACGGGGTCAGTTGGGTGTGCCGTCCATTCTTTAAGGCAAGAGCTTGAATTATTCCGACTGAACATGGGATGTCCTGGTGCAGCATTTTCAATT